AACATAATTATTGTAAAAACTATAAGTCAAATCTAAAAGTTATCATTGTAAAGTCATGAAGACCAGTCAAAACAAAAACAAACAAAATTAATAAATAAATCAAAGAAACAAAATTAGGAAAATATTTTCTTCACATCAACAGTTAACTTGTTCTTAACTGAAACATTAAGTAAATTTGTGAACTGCCATCTACCACATGTTTGTTTCCTTACAGAAACAGCTAAAATGACTGAAAACAACAACAGCGCTAACAAAAGAGCCGTTTGGGATGGAGAAGTCAACAAACAAGTTTTCTCTTCCATCTTTGAGAAAATGAGCAGAATAAAACCATCAAATTAATCTGTACATGTCTGCCATTAAAGACAGGTGTGACCCGCTGGTCTGCAGTCTGGTCCCAGAGCCCATCTATTGTTAGTGGAGCCTCACTGATGGAGCAGGGAGCAGATGGGAGTCTGAACAGGGCCATTCTGATGCATGGAGTGGAGGCATCCAGGAGGGTGGGGGAGGTGGGGCTCATTGTTCCCACAACCCCAGGTCTGCAGAGTCTGTGGCACAGCCCCCGTGACCCGCTCCCATCTGCTTCTCCACATTATTAGTTCATACCAAGACACACTTCAGTTCAGAGTCTCCAAATGTATTCATCTGATGCCTGCTGAGCATCTGGGCTGGAGTCAGACAATACACACACTTTAACGCATTCAGCCCGGTCCCAACAGGACCACGGTTCACTGAGAGGGGGAAGGCAGCTAGAACATTTATAACTGTGTGGCTCATGAAGTCAGCACAGTTCAAGATGGCTGCCAAAGCCAACCAATCACCGCTACAAGGCTTGGACTGATACTGGCTTCAAGTCATACTGTGGACAGATAAAGTGAGAACTTACACTGCCCAAACTTCTCTACTTCAGTGTAAAAACAGGGTTATACAAGAAAAGGTGCTGGAAAATTAAATACAGGGTTCCCACACCTTGGTCAATTTCAAATTCAAGGACCTTTCAAGGATTTTCCAGTGCCAATTTCCTCAAATTAAAGAACCATGCGCAACGGCAATTAACATCCTGCTACCACAGAGTGTTACCAATAACCAGGTTTAGTATCATGTACCGTATTTTTCGGACTATAAGCTGCGACTTTTTTCCTGAACTTTGAACCATGCNTTTTTTTTTCACCAGGGTGACCCCTACACTGTTATGACTTTTAACTAGAACAGAGTTCTGTCTCTTTAAAGGAGGTCTTCTGAGATTAGCGTCAAAGCCAGATGGAAAGTTTATACCACCCCTAAGTGACCACTCTACATCAGTCCAACAAAATTGTTTAGTTTTCTTACCAATATTATTAGAAAATTTTAGAAACATCTTAATGTTATTCACAATGATGGAATGTTTTAGCTAAAGTACTTCTTTTTCTTTCTTTCTTCTTGTTAATGAGTTTGATTGAAGAGAAGATAACAGAAACATTACAAATAGACAGTTTTCATTTCAATTCCTTTTTAGTTTAAATCCTTTGAACTTTGAGACAGTCTTGTTTCAAGAATAAACTCCAATTTGCAAGTTTTCCCTTAATGTTTATAATTTTACCAAGGCACCAAGTTAGAATTAATTTCTAATATTTGCTGAATTATTTCCTTTAAGAATGTCATCTAAATCAAAGTAAATGTATTACTGCATGATATCCTTAACTAATTTAAAAATCAACCAAACTGAATCGTGAATCGAATTGAATCGATGTGGGAAATCTGAATCAATACCCAACCCTACTGCATAGGTAGGTACTTAATGAATGTGGACCAGGTAGGTAGGTCCTTGCAGGGTGTGTAACTGGTATCTATAGGGAATAGGCTGTATCATAAAGGGACCTTTTATTAATCTGTTACTTTTAGAGTACATCCTGGGTACTTAGAAGGGTTTTAACTAGTTTCGTCCATGGTGTCGAGCTGTTTTGTGCATAACACTTGAAATAGTTTGTCAAAGCCTGCTAATTTGTGTCTTGATTTCATTCTCAAAGGTTTTTATTATTACAGAAACATGAAAAAAGGAATCCATGCATTAAACGTAAAGCTTTATTTATAGATAGAGCAGTTGACTGAATATTATGACTACCTCAACAGAAATATTTATGGTAAATCAGCCATAAAAAGTGTTTTGTTATGGGGTTGTTGTTGTTTTTTTTACTTTAAATGTTACTGGAACTAAATCAATGTTTAAATGCAGTTTTTTATTTTATTTATTTATTTATTTGTTTGTTTGTTTGTTTTTTTTAGTACAGAACTTTTAAGGATCTGGATATGATGAAGTGCTGCAGTTTCTTCTGTCTGAACAATGGTTATAATTGAAAGAAATGTGTGTTCGACTAAATCGACAATCTGTGACGAAATATTCCACAATGTACAGTGGGAGGGTTATTCTTTCACATAAAGATACTTTTCTTTTTCAGTTTTTTTTAATTAAAACTATAATGCATTGCAACTTACGGTGACAGCATTTTAAAGTGACACATTTTGATTTGAAATACTTCATTGTGTGTTTGCATATGAATGGCTGTAGTCACAAAGTCATAATTTTGCAGGCTGCAAATTGTTGTCAAAGGTGTGTATGTAGGAAGAAATGTGACTGTACTGGAGAGAAATCCTTCTAGGTCACCCATGTCATGTTGAAAATACCATAACGTGCATTACATTGATTCTTCTTCCATCTGCTAACCTTATTGTATTTACTCACTCACGGGAAGCAAAATATGAGATTCCAAGAGGAGAAAAAACTTTAACCCAGTTTTTTGTATAATTTGGTTTGATTTTCGAAAAAATATGTCATTCACCTATTCTGATCAGAACAAACACTTCTGATATCTCTCTTTTGTTTTCAGAAATCAAATGTCACA